GCTGCCTGGGGGATTCACACACATAACCACAGGTGCCAAGGGTTGGGCACGGCCTTGGTCCACAGGCAAACAAATACGCCCTACATGGGTCTGCCTCTTCCATCACTGGCCTGTGGGACAGTGGCGTCTTTGTCAGTGGGTCAGGCTCATGCGGTGCCTGGCTCCCACTTGCCTGGAGTGACACTTCAGCTGGGAGGAGCTGTGGCCACTCATGATGAGATTTCTGGGTCAGTTCCTGGTTCTCGGAATGTGCCAACCCCGTTTGACCCCTGCAGAGCTCATTAGTGGGGCTCATATTGAAATGCACCCCCTTATCTTCCACTAGGAAGGGCTCTCGCATCCCAGGTGGCCTGGGTCTGGCTTGCAGAAGGCGCTGCATGGATGATTTTGTTACAGGCCTTCAGCCAATGGTCACTAAACTCCAGCTCGAGGGACAGAAACCCCTGGGGACACTGTTGAAAATGCAGATTCTCGGGCCCCACCCTCAGAGTCCTGGTTCCTCAGATCTGGGGTGAAGGCCCAGGAACAAGCATTTTTGCAACCTCCCAGGTAATCAGTTGGTCCCCAGTCTCACTCTGCTTCCACTTCCACCTCGGGAGCTTTGATCCAGGGCTCCTGCTAGTCTTCCTCGGTGAGCTAGAAATGGGCGTTCCTGCCTTGAGCTGCACTCAGCCCAAGGCCAGGGCGGCAGCTTTGGGGAGCGGAGCTCAGGCAGTAGTTCCACACCTCCGCAGAGCATCCTGGCGCTGTGCACGGCTTGCACACCTGGCTCTGAAGCCTGCTCCTGCGGCTGAGCCTTTGCAGATTCCCAGGACGGCAGCCTGCGGCAGCAGAGTCCTGCAGAAGGCTGTCCCTTCCAGTGCCCCCATCTCCAGGGTCTGTGGGTCACGTCTGAGTCATTTTACAAAACTGAGTACAGCACAGGGCCTGATATTCTGTGCATACTTAGACAAACAGCCACAGGAGTACATCAGAACGCCTCTCGACCTCTGGGGCAGGCGTCATGGTGCAGCAAGTTAAGCTACTGCCTGGGACACCGGCACTCTGTGTGAGCCCCGGGACTTAGCTGCTGATCCAGCTTCCTGCTAACGCACCAGGGGATGCAGCGTCCCTGCCACCCACGTGGGAGACCGGGATGGGGCCCCAGCCTCCTGGTTTGGGCCTGGCCCAGGCTGCTGTGGGCACTGGGGGAGTGAACGAGCAGAGGGATATCTCCGAGTCTGTCTGTCACTCTGCCTTCCAAGTTGCCGACAGCATGGAAATCGGATCTCTTGCTGGGCACAGAGGGTCCCCACCCTTCCCTTTAATGGTCGACCTGGCCCCAGTTTCAACACATTAATAGTCCGTTCCAAGTTCTTGGTTTCCAACCCTAGTGCCAGGCACACTCAAAAATACTGATTCCAAATGATTCAAAAAATGACAGTTACAGGAAACGCCCTCCAGGGTTGAATTTCTGCTTCCCACTAATCTCAGACCATCCCGATGCTCTGTTCATGTATTTCCTTTTGTTTCTTTCCTTGGGAGCTATGACAAATGAATGAATGAATGAATGAATGAGCCATCTCCCATTTCAAGTTCATGCATCATGCAAAAGAGAGCCCTCCAGATTTCAGGGAAATGAGAAGTGCCAACTGCAGGCTGACGTCACAGTTCTGTTTGGAGACTTGGCTGATCATCTCAGTGGTGAGCAAACCCCCACAACGCTCCACACCGGACGTGGCGGGCTGGCCTGCCCCTGCACCAGGTCTGGGGAGGAAGGAGCTGGAAGCTTCACCATGACACATCAGAAGGGCTGTGCGGGAAAGACTGAGCAAACCAGAATCATGTGTGTGCTCAGTGGAAGGCACTCTGCCGGGCAGAGTGCGCTGCCACAGAGTGGAAGGAGAGGCCCTTCCCGTAAGCCTGCTGGGACTCGTGATGGGCCCGCCTCTTCCCACAGAGTACTCCGATGCAGATGGTGGTTTCGGTACGTCCCTCCCCCAGCCGTCAACTGCTACACATGAGATCACGTGGTCTGTCTTACACATGCTGGGCCAGGGCTGGTGCTGTGGGTAGAAGGTTAAGCTTCTGCCTGTGGCGCCGGCATCCCATATGGGCACTGGCTGCTCCACTTCCAATCCAGCTCCCTGCTTGTGTGCCCGGGAAAGCAGTGGAGGATGGTCCAAGTGCTCGGGCCCCTGCACCCACGTGGGAGACGTGGATGAAGCTCCTGGCTTCAGCCTGACCCAGCCCCAGCGGCTGTGGCTATTTGGGCAGAGAAAACAGCAGATGGAAGATTTCTCTCTCTCTCTCTCTCTCCTTGTTTCTCTGTAACTCTGACTTTCAATTAATAAATACACCTTAAAAAAAAATAGGCCAGTATATTTGTAGTCTAAGGGCATATAAATTCAGTTTTTCAAAACTTGAATCAAATGAGACACTTCTGCAGGCAAGATGCATCCAGCAACATCAGTTCTCGGCAAACGCACCCAGAATCTGTATTTTCAAGAGTCTTATGCCACCATGTTGTCCTAGCAGGTTAAGCTGCTGCCTGTGGGCGGAGTCCAAGATGCCCCACTTCCAATGCAGCTCTCTGCTAACGTGCCTAGGAGGGCAGTAGAAGATGGTCCAAGCGCTTGGGCCCCTGTGCCCATGTGGGAGACCCGGAAGAACCTCCTGGCTCCCGCCTGGCCCAGCTCCAGCCACTGTGGCTATTTGGGGAATGAATCAGCAGATAGAAGATCTCTGTCTCTCTCTGCTTCTTTATCTCTGCCTTTCAAATAAATAAATACATAAAGATTTAAAAAAGAAAAGAAAGCTCCCTGGGGGACGCTGATGATCAGACATTTGGAAATATTGAGATAAGGTGGGTATGAATTCCTGATACACTGTTAAACTGGCACACCTGGGAGCAATAATCTCTGCTGGTTTTTTTTTTTTTTTAAGATTTTATTTATTTATTTGAGAGGTAGAGTTACAGACAGTGAGAGGGAGAGACAGAGAGTAAGGGCTTCCTTCTGTTGGTTCACTCCTCAGAGTGCCGCAACAGCCAGAGCTTGGCCGATCTGAAGCCAGAAGCCAGGAGTTTCTTCAGGGTCTCCCACGTGGGTGCAGGGGCTCAAGGACTTGGGCCATCTTCTACTGCTTTCCCAGGCCATAGCAGAGAGCTGGATTGGAAGAGGAGCAGCCAGGACTCGAACCGGCGCCCATGTGGGATGCCTGCACCGCAGGAGGAGGATTAATTTACTGAGGCACTTTGCCGGCCCCAACCCTGCTGTTTTGAGACGCAATGGGTCTGGCCTAGTGAAATTCAGGGACTGTGCTTACCAGCCCAGAGGCGTGGCCTGAGCGTCTTCGCAGGTGCGTGGGGCTCCCTGGGACCTGGCCGCCCTGGATGTGCGAGGCTGGCTGGGGAGGTGGTGTCCCTGACCTGACGCTGCAGCTTCTAGGTGGAGAGACCCACGGCTTCCAGCCGCTCTGGGGAACAGGAGAGCCGGAGCTCGCTCTCCTTCCCCTTTCCACTGTCGGATGGCTTCTGTCAGAAGAGAAATGTGACAGAAAAGACCCAGGTTCCCGCCAGCACCCACGATGAGGGGCTGTCCGTGCAGGCCCATGTGACACTTCCTGTTTCCGGAGCTTCTCCTGGCTTCCTGATCTCAAAACCTCCTGCTGGCTGGGGCCCTACTCCTGCAGAGTGCTGGTGTGAATACTGGCTGGTGTGAATACTGGCTCAGAGCGCAGAACTGACAGCTTCATGAGCAGGCTCGGGATTTCTCACTTCTCTCCAGTCTCTGGGCCACCGGCAGGAGGTAGAGTGGCGTTCAACTGAAAGCTGAGAGTGAAAAGGTGGCGGTGAGGTTAGAACCCCTGGTGATCCAGGCACCGCCTGTATGTGTCCCCATGGATCTGAGGGCACACTGTGTGCAGAGCTCTCTGTGTGTGTCCCCGTGGATCTGAGGGCACACTGTGTGCAGGGCTCTCTGTGCGTGTCCCCGTGGATCTGAGGGCACACTGTGTGCAGGGCTCTCTGTGTGTGTCCCCGTGGATCTGAGGGCACACTGTGTGCAGGGCTTTCTGTGTGTCCCCGTGGATCTGAGGGCACAGCACGTGCAGGGCTCTCTATGCATCTCCATGGATCTGAGGGCACACTGTGTGCAGGGCTCTCTGTGTGTGTCCCCGTGGATCTGAGGGCACACTGTGTGCAGGGCTCTCTGTGTGTCCCCGTGGATCTGAGGGCACACTGTGTGCAGGGCTCTCTGTGCGTGTCCCCGTGGATCTGAGGGCACAGCACGTGCAGGGCTCTCTGTGTGTGTCCCCGTGGATCTGAGGGCACACTGTGTGCAGGGCTCTCTGTGTGTCCCCGTGGATCTGAGGGCACACTGTGTGCAGGGCTCTCTGTGCGAGTCCCCGTGGATCTGAGGGCACACTGTGTGCAGGGCTCTATGCATGCATCTCCGTGGATCTGAGGGCACACTGTGTGCAGGGCTATGTGTCCCCCATGTATCTGAGGGCACACTGTGTGCAGGGCTATGTGTCCACCATGTATCTGAAGGCACACTGTGTGCAGGGCTATGTGTCCACCATATATCTGACACAGACTGTGTGCAGGGTGTTACTCGGTAAGGCGACGGCCTTAAGCTCTTGTGCACCCTGGCTTCCTCGAGGGCCGATTCTGGGCCACCGGCTGGACGTCAGCGCATCTGCATTTCCAGCAGGCTCCCGGTCAGGGAAGCCACTGTCCCGCGGACCACACTTGGAGAACCTACGTTGTGCGCTTGGCTGAGTCCCCGCTTTAGAGGACACTGCACGTCTGGTGACGCCCGGGGCATCCTGGCTGTCTGGAGGGATGCGTGGCGCCGGGAGCGCGCGGTCTGGGGGTGCGCGGAAGGCGCTCAGGGGCGGGAACTCGGGGCGGGGCGAGGACCGCCCCGCCCCCGTCGCCCCGCCCAGTGCCTATCGGGAGGTTATCGGCAGGGGGTATCTGCACATCATGAGCGATGACCGCCGAAGTCGCGCCGCTGTTCGGCCCCGGGAAGCTGGTGGGGAGGCCGCACCCGGGCCCGGGCCTCCGGTGCAGATCCGCGTCGCCATCCAGGAGGCCGAGGACGAGGAGCGACCGCCGGACGGGGAGCGGCTGCCAGTCGGGGAGCGGCGCGCGGGGCGCCCGGCGCGGTTCCTGAGCCCCGGCTGGGGCAGCGGCGGCGAGGAGGAGCCGGGCCGCGGGCGCAGGTAGGCGGCGGGGTCGGAAGCCGGGCCTGCCCCTCCACTGAGGCACCCCGCGCGACCCCGCAGCTCGCCCGGCCGGGCCCTCATTCCTCGTCCGAGCCGTGTCCTGGCCCGCCGCCCCCTCCCCGACCCCGACCTCGCTGCCTGCACTGCCTGGCCTGGACCGGCGCGCTGGGGGCTCCAGAGGAGGGGTCGCCCTGGAGACTGGGGACTGAGGCCGGTCCCCTTCCTTCTCGGTCCCAGCGGCATTCCCACCTGAGCCGGAGAGCGCGTCGCATCTGGCAACCTGGGGCTGGGGTGCTGGGGTCCTTGTCCGGGTACAGTGGCCGAAGTCCTGGGATGGACCCCGGGGCTGGGGTGCTGGAGCCGGGTCCTGGGGTGGGCCTTGCGGACCTGGGTAGCATCTGCCTAACTCTGCCTCAGGGCCTGCGCCTCGGCCTGTGCCACACTGCGGGGCTGCAGACCCTGGCTGCTGGGGGCAGCGGCCCTGAGGAGCATCCCTGGAGAAGAGGGCGGCAAGGACAGACGAGCAGATTCCGGGGGAGGCCAGCCGCCCCCGGCCAGGAGGCCTGTTTGCTTGGGGCCCTGTGCACAGGCTTTGCTGCTCCGGCTGCTGGGGTATAGGGATTACTCCCTGAGGGGGAAGCAGTGGCTGCTCAACCCTTCCCCAGAGCACAGGGTCTAGAGGCCGGGGGTTGAAGACAGAGCAGTGGAGACAGATGTTGGTGGAGAGTCCAACCAAGCAGCTTAGGGCAGGACACCTGCAGCCCAGCCCAGCACACACAGTGGTCGTGGTCAGAGCAGTGAACCTGCAGCCCAGCCCAGCACACACAGTGGTCGTGGAGTCAGGGGCAGTGCACCTGCAGCCCAGCCCAGCCCACACAGTAGTCGTGGGGTCAGAGCAGTGAACCTGCAGCCCAGCACAGCCCACATAGCAGCCGTGGGGTCAGGGCAGTGCACCTGCAGCCCACCCTGCACACACAGCAGCCATGGGGTCAGAGCAGTAAACCTGCAGCACAGCCCAGCCCACACAGTAGTCGTGGGGTCAGAGCAGTAAACCTGCAGCCCAGCATAGCACACACAGCATCATGGGGTCAGGGGCAGTGCACCTGCAGCCCAACCCAACCCACACAGCAGCCGTGGGGTCAGGGGCAGTGCACCTGCAGCCCACCCTGCACACACAGCAGCCATGGGGTCAGAGCAGTGCACCTGCAGCCCAGCATAGCACACACAGTAGTCGTGGGGTCAGAGCAGTGCACCTGCAGCACAGCCCTGCACACACAGCAGTCATGGGGTCAGAGCAGTGCACCTGCAGCCCAGCCCACACAGCATCATGGGGTCAGGGCAGTGCACCTGCAGCACAGCCCACACAGTAGTCGTGGGGTCAGAGCGGTACACCTGCAGCACAGCCCACACAGCAGCCGTGGGGTCAAAGCAGTGCACCTGCAGCCCACCCTGCACACACAGCATCGTGGGGTCAGAGCAGTGCACCTGCAGCCCACCCTACACACACAGTAGTCGTGGGGTCAGAGCAGTGCACCTGCAGCCCACCCTACACACACAGTAGTCGTGGGGTCAGAGCAGTGCACCTGCAGCCCACCCTGCACACACAGCAGCCATAGGGTCAGAGCAGTGCACCTGCAGCACAGCCCTGCACACACAGTAGTCATGGGGTCAGAGCAGTGCACCTGCAGCCCAGCCCAGCACACAGCATCATGGGGTCAGAGCAGTGCACCTGCAGCCCAGCATAGCACACACAGCATCATGGGGTCAGAGCAGTGCACCTGCAGCCCAGCCCAGCACACAGCAGTCGTGGGGTCAGAGCAGTGCACCTGCAGCCCAGACACCCGCATTAGAAGTGAGAGAATCAGCCCCTTATGCACTCCAGGGCCTGACTTCAGCCTGTGCCGGGGTGCATTATAAGGAGGAGCCCCAGTCCCTGACAGTTTGCGCACTGAGAAGACAGAGCCAGTCATGTTTCAGATGTGCTACAAACAGCCCTGCCTGTATTTGCCTGTGACTGGGAAACGGCCAGCCCTATCCGGGACTGATGTCTGTGACTGTCCCTATAGCCTGGGCAGGTCCTTGGGGAAGTCCAGGAGGACTGAGCTCCCTGTGGGTGGGCATCTCACCAGCAGCCTCACGCTCCCTCTAGAGCCCTCTTCTCTCCCAGCTCCAGTGACTTGAGGCTTGTGGAGCGTTGCAAGTGTTGGATCTGAAGCCCCCTCGTGCTGTCCACTGGCCCAGAGCTGCCTCTGGGCAGAGAATCCTCAGGGAGGTAGAGCTGACAACTGGACGAGTGGGTGGCGTCCAGGGAAGAGTGGCGGCCCAGCCTTGGGAGCCGGCGTCTTATGCTCCCCTAGCAAGGACGGGACATTGCGTGGGGCCTGCCTGCCTGTGTGCGCCTTCCTCTTGTCTGCTGACTTCCAGCCGCCTGGTGGGCTGCTGTCTCTGCCCCGTCCCCTCCGAGCTGTGTGGACTCTCTGGGTTTCCGGGGGCCTCTACCTTTGAGGCCTGTACTTTGCACAATCGTGTTCTGCTGTTGTGTCTGGCATGCAGGATTGTGAGCGCTGTGGCAGCTGGGACTAGGCTGGCCTCCCTCTCAGTGGCACCAGTGCGGTGCCCAGCTCTCGGTGGCCGCTGTAGAAGTATCTGTCGGATGAATGTGTGTCTGATCCCCCCTGCCATTGCCCTCCGCTAGGCAGTGAATGAGATGCCTGGAGGAGCTGCCCTGTCTCCAGCATGCTGGCTTATGCCAGGCGGACCGCAGGGAAATGAACGCAGGGCAACGTCTTCTGCCTTCCAGAAGGTTCATTGGCCTTCTCCCTATGTCTCACGCACTAGAAAAGCTGGCTTTCCTTTGTTTCCTCCTTTTAAACAAAAAGTTTAAAGCAAAGGAAATGTGAACAAACAGGATTGTGAATGTTCACATTCTCACCAGCTGGGTTTAACAATGATGAATATTTTACCCTGCTTGTTTGATGGATATACAAGGGGGCTTCATAGAGTTTGTTGGAAAGTGGAATTAAAAGATAAGGTTTTTATTGGTGCAAAAAAATTTAAATCTGTGCTTTTTAAAAAAATTTTTTGATTATTTGAAAGGCAGAGAGAGAGAGAGAGAGAGAATCCATCTGCTTGTTATCCATGGCTCGTTCACTCCCCAAATGGCCACATTGTCAGGGACTGGGCCAGGCCGAAGCCAGGAGCCTAGAACCCCTGCATATCTCCCATGTGAGTGACGGGTCCAAGTACTTGAGCCATCTGCTGCTGCTTTCCCAGGTACATAAGCTGGGAGCTACATTGGAAATGGAGCAGGCAGGACTCGAACCGGCCCCCATATGGGATGCCAGCATCGCAAGCAGTGGTTTAACCCATTACCCACAATGCCAGCCCCTCCATGATTTTTTTAAAGATTTATTTATTTATTTGAAAGAGTTACAGAGAAAGAAGAAAAGACAGCTCTTCCATCCATTGGTTTACTCCCCAGATGCCTGTGATGGCCAGGGCTGGACCAGCCAAAGTTAGGAGTCAGGAGCATCATCCAGGTCTCCCATGTGGGCGCAGGGACCCAAACGCTGGGGCCATCCTCCACTGCCTTGCCAGGCACATTAGCAGGGAGCTGGATCCGAAGTGGAGCAGGACTTGAACCAGTGTCCTTCAAGGATGCCAGTGTCTCAAGTGGTGGCTTTGCCTGCTATGCCACAATGACAACCCATTTCTGTGAAATTTTTAATGTTTTTTAATCTACTTGAAAAGGAGGGATTGGAAAAGATCCCCAAATGTCTGTATCAGTTAGGCCAAACCCAGGGCCCCAGAACTCCATCCGGGCCTCACACGGTGGCAGCCCAAGTGCTTGAGCCGTCATCTGCTGCCTCCCAGGGTGTGCAACAGCAGAGAGCTGGGTTGGAAGCAGAGCAGCTAGGACTCCAGCTGCCACTCCACCATGGGATGCAGGTATCCCAGGAGTGGCTTAACAGCGTGCACCGCATTCATGGTGTACCATGAGTTTTTCACGTATCCTTGTAGAAATGTGTGGTTCACCCCAAATCATTTGCAAGCCTCTTGTGCACATGCCTTGTATCTGAAATGCTTTGTAATCTTCAAAATGACATTCCCTGTAAAACCACAACACTGTTATTGCAACTAGTAAAATCCACAGCCATCGCCTAACGTAATCTTCCAGAAAATCACATGGCCAGCTCCCTGTTTGGAGCTGTTTCCTTCCCTGCTCATGCTAGAATCCAGTCTGAGTTGACAAATGTGCGTTTTGTGTCTCTCTGGAATCTTTCCATCTGGAACACACACACACACACAGACACACACACACAGCTGATGTTTGCTGTGTTGCCTGTCAGGGGTCAGACTTTTGCTGAACGCCTTGCGTTTTGGATTATCTGTGTGTGTTCTCAGTGTCTGCTTTAACTGCCTTGTCCCCACGTGCTTCCTATAAAGTGGGAGCTAGGACCGAGGACTTGGCTCAGTCCTCGTTAAGCATTTTGACAAGCACACTTCATAGTCCATGCCTGGACTCCGCATTCGGCAGGCACCCAACGTTGGTGGTGTTACATTTGACCACGTGGTGAGGGAGATTGCTCGCTGTCCATGTTTTCTTTTCCTTCGGGATTACCAAGTAACCTGTAGGTCTCCTTGCTCTTCGCTGCATACTGGGGTGAGTCACACTTGCCGATTTGTGTCTGTGGCACCCAATTTGTTGATTCCCCATCACTGCATGGGAGATCTGGACTGAGTTCCAGGCTGCTGACTTGATCTTGGCCCAGTCCTGGCTGTTGTGGCCATCTGGGGGAAGTGGACTCACAGATGTCTCTCTACCTTACGAATAGAAATAGCAATAATTCCGTTTTCCCATGAACTTGCTGAAGTGCCCCCTGCACGTCTGGCAGGGACACTGGCCTGTTTCTCATGGGGTCCTGATGCCAGCCGATGCTGCTCTCCTGAGAAGAATCTGGAAGCACCGTCTCCTCTGTGGTTCCTCGCAGGGGCTT